ATGTGTGAGGAATGTAAGGTGCCTCTCTGCATGGTGCCTTGTTTCAAGGAGTTCCACAAGCTCCAGCAGTTCTAAAACCATGTCCAGTGATTGTAAATATGTAAATATATGATAGATATTAGTATTATACAAGATTTGTGCATGTTTATTGTAATAGACAACAGTGGTAAACAATAATATGATAATAACTTTAGTGCGGTTATTGTGTTCAATACAGTGAGTTTATATATATACATTATATACAGTATGGTCTCTCAGGCCCCAAATGTTAGTAGGAATAGAAAAAAATTGGAAAAAGAAAAGAAAAAACTATAAAAACCGCTAAATAATGTAACGTGCGTATGTGGGAATTCGTCAATGTTGCCGCCACCACATCATTTTTGACAAACTTCTTGGCACTGTATCTCGGTAAGTACTGTTTCAGAATTTTTTTTCTTTGTCTTATTACCTTCACAAAAATATGCTCTTTAATTCTGGAAGATAAAATCATTTTTTTTTTTTTTTTTCAAAATTTCTTGGACACTGGAGCACCACTTCAGATTTTGGCCTTGGACCCTGAAGGGGTTAATCCAAAAACACGGTCTAGGTTTTTTTTTTCTCATTACGCACTGCTTGTTGCAGGATTTTTTTGATACTGCACACACTGACCACATAGACCCATTCTTTCATATGTAGGCCTACAGCTTTCTCTCACTAGATTTGAGGGCGCTAGAATTTAGGCGTACTAGTACGTCAAAAACCCTGGGTCGTAAGCCGTACTAGTACAGCCGAAACCCTGAAAGGGTTCAGGGTAAAAATTAAGTTTTTATATAATAGAGGACTAACGAATAGTGGAATATTAACATATTCAAACTGATGCAATACTGTTTTATTTTCTACCCTAGTTTAACAAGAAATTTAGTCTTTAAAATTCCTTATAACAATTGTACTCTCCAGTGAAGCATGTGGAAAAATAGGACATGGGAAATAGCATTAAAGTAAAATATGCATAATTTATCTTTGAAATTAAAGTTCTGAGCATGTAATTTTTTGTATTATATACAGTTTAAGTGTTGCAAAAAATAATTTGGTATTATACTGCTTGTTCAAAAACAATTCTATAATACAAATATACACATTCAAACTAGATCGCCATGTAACATTAAAAATGAAAGAAAATTAATAAAAAATAAAAAATTAAGTATCAAGTGTTTTTGTAGACCCTGTGAAGAATAACCCCTACTAACGGGGCTAGCCAGAAGTGAGGTAATGTTCAAATTGCTTTGAAACACCTGAACATATGCAGAAAATTAGTGTACTGATAAAATAACAACAACAAAAATAAAACCCCAAAGTTTTCTACGTAAAGTTATATAAATAATTGCTGAATATGAAAAAACACTGTACATTATGTGCAAAATTCCTAATTCATAAAATTCAAAATTCATGTTTACTGTGCAACTAACAGATGATTTAGCAAGAACATGCAAGTGTACATTTATTACCTTCAGATACATGAAGTAGATGTCTGCACAACTATGTCATATTTATCAACAGCATATTTTGCCAAAAAAAGTTGCATATTCTATATTAACCCCGTAAACGGTCCAAACGTATATATACGTTTTTTCAACATTTGAAAGAAATGTAAAAAAGTAGATCTTTTTTGTTTTTCTACATTTGAAAATGTGTAAAAAAACTTTGATCAACTTTTTTTTTTGTTATATTTGAAAATATGTAAAAAAAACTTAGATCACTTTTGAAAGCCTACACATGTGAAGTAGATCTACTTGACCGTTTAGGGTTAAATGCACATTTTCCTTTTAAATTTTCCCATACTCCAGCAATTAAACACTGTTGATATTTTTTAAATTTCCCAATAGTCATGCAGGGTTTCTATTTTTTATTGTATGTGTTTTCAAAAGGTGCCCAATGTAACTTCAGTTGTTCTTTATGAGGGGTATGAATAAATTTTGGGCACTACTGTACAATGTGATGCCAAAGTCTGGAATCAGGTGCTTGACCTGTCTGTAAATGACTAGCTCAGCTCAGACCTTGCATTACATTCCTGAACCTCATATGACTAAACAGATTGTCTGCTGTGGTTGTGTTAAAAATCACTCATTTCTGGGAAGAACAAAAATGCTAAATTAGAGAAACTGAAGATTAGTATTTTTTAAAAAAAAGGACATACAGATTACCTCACTTGACTTAGTATTCACAAGTTAAGACACAATATGAGTCACTTAATAATTTGTATATAGCCATGTGATAAACTGGTTATACAAATCTTATAAAAAATGTATTACATTATGTATATTATCTTACTGTATAGAGTTTTTTTTACTCTTTTATTTTGGGAAATTTAAAAATAAATGTTATTTTTAAGGAAGTAAGAAGTTAAAAAAAAAAAAAAAGGTCGAACAAGTAAAATCTTGCTTTATCCATCTCAGGGACAAAATTCTATGGTCTCTTTCTGCGCCGAGTTGATACACCATCCCGGCAGCGGCTTGAAAAACCATGGGTAACACAAACTCCCTAGAGAAGGGAAGGAAAATTTAAATATAGTCATGTCAGTTTGTAGATGGTGATAAATATCATCATTTCTTTTCAATTTCTCTCTCTTCTGATGCTAATTTTTGTCTAACTTGTCATGTCCATCATATTTTATAAGATTACAATGGTTCAATGCTTTTTGAACTATTCATGGGCATATGCTGTCATGTCATGAAAAACTGTATAATAATAACCACAGCCTTCATTAGACTTTCCTATACAATAATAACCCACACATGGTTAAAAACTTTTTGAATTGTCATAAGGTTCAATAGTAGAACAGTATAGTACTAGTAGTGGAAAGAATATAGTAGTAGTATTAGTAAAAGATATAAGTAGTAGTAGTAAAAAAGAGTATAGTAGTAGTAGTAGTAAACAGTATAGTAGAAGAGTTCTGTAGTAGAAGTAAAACAATATAATAGTAATTGTAAATAGTACACAGCAAGTAGTAAAACAGTATAGTAGTAGAAGAGTAAGTAAGTAGTAGTACAATATAGTAGAACTAAAATTAGTATATAGTATAGTAAACAGTATAGTAATTAATAGCAGAACAGACCAGTATAGTAATACAGTAAAGAGTATTAGTAGAACATATAGTAGTATTAGCAGACAGTATAGTAATTGTTAATAGAACAGGATAGTTGGTAGTAGTAAAACAGTATAGTGGTAAGTAGTAAAACGTAAATTGGTAGTAGTAAAAAACAGTAATAGTGGGAGTAGTAAACAGTAATAGTGGTAGTAGTAAAACAGTAAGTAGTAGTAGTAAAACAGTAGAGTAGTAGTAGTAAAACAGTAGAGTATTAAGTAAAACAGTATAGTAGTAAAACAGAGAGTAGTAGTAGTAAAACAGTAGAGTAGGAGTTAAGTAAAACAGTAAAGTAGTAAGTAGTAAACAGTAGATTATAAGTCGTAAAACAGTATAGTAGTAAAACATCAGAGTAAGTAAGTAAAACAGTATAGTAGTAAAACAGTAGAGAAGTAAGTAAAACAGTAGAGTAGTAGTAGTATAACAGTAGAGTAGTAGTAGTAAAACATAGAGTAGAGTAAGTAAAACAGTAGAGTAGTAGTAGTAAACAGGAGAGAGAAGTAGTAAAACAGTAGAGTTAGTAGTATAAAACAGTAGAGTAGTATAGTAAAACAGTAAGTAGTAGTAGTAAACAGTAGAGTAGTAGTATAAAACAGTAAGTATAGTAGTAAAACAGTAGAGTAGTAGAGTAAAACAGTATATGGTAGTAGTAAAACAGTATAGTGTTAGTTAGTAAAACAGTAGAGTAGTAGTATAAAACATAGAGTAGAAGTATAGAAATCAGTATAGTGGGTAGTAGTAAAACTAAGTAGTAAGTAAAACAGTATAGTATAGTAGTAAAACAGTATAGTGGTAGTAGTAAAACAGTAGAGTAGTAGTAGTAAAACTGTAGATAGTAGTAGTAAAACAGTATAAGTGGTAGTAGTAAACAGTATAGGTAGTAGTATAAAAACAGTAGAGTAGATAGTATGTAAAACAGTAAGTAGTAGTAGTAAAACGTATTGTGGTAAGTAGTAAAACAGTATAGTGGGTAGCAGTAAAATGTAGAGTAGTAATTAGTCAAAACAGAGAGTAGAGTAGTAAAACAGTAGAGTAGTAGTATAAAACAGTAGAGTAGTAGTAGTAAAACAGTATAGTGGTAGTAGTAAAATGGTAGGAGTTAGTAGTAGTAAAACAGTATAGTAGTATAGTAAAGACTGTAGAAGTAGTAGTAGTAAAACAGTATAGTGGTAGTAGTAAAATGGTAGAGTAGTAGTAGTAAAACAGTAGAGTAGTAGTAGTAAAACAGTAGAGTAGTAGTAAGTAAAACAGTATAGTGTAGTAGTAAAACAGTAGAGTAGTAGTTAGTAGTAAAACAGTAGAAGTATAGTTAGTAAAACAGTATAGTGGTAGT